GTCTAAATATTGTATGTGGTGCTTTTGTCTCATATGTGTTTTTCATTCTATAACAACTGCTCTTCTCCCTCTTTTTTACTCTGATAAAATACGTAACTTAAATTTGCCATCTTAATCATTTTTAAATGTACAATTCAATGGAATGAAGTACATATACAGTGTTGTGCCACTTTGACCACTATTTCCAAAAATTTTCATCACCCCAAACAAACTCTACCCATTAAGCAATAATTCCCTATTCCCTTCTCTCTCTACCTGCTAGAACCTCTAATCTACTATTTTGCTCTATGAATTTATCTATTCTAGATATTTCAAATAAGTGGAATCATACCATATGTGTCCTTTTGTATCTGCTTTATTTCACTTAGCATAATGTTTTCAAGGTTTATCCATATTATAGCATTTATCAAAACTTCATACCTTCTTATGGCTAAATAATATTCATATGTATTTACATATCTCATTTTATTTATCCACTCATCTGTTGATGGATACTTGAGTTGTTTCTACCTTTTGGATATTGTGAATAATGCTGCTGTGAACATTAGCATATAAGTATGTTTGAGTCTCTGTTTTTTGTTTGTTTGTTTTGTTTGAGACGGAGTCTTGCTCTGTCACCCAGGCAGGAGTGCAGTGGCACTATCTCGGCTCACTGCAGCCTCTGCTTCCCAGGTTCAAGCAATTCTCCTATCTCAACCTTCCAAGTAGCTGGGGCTACAGGCGTGTGCCACCATGCCCAGCTAACTTTTATATTTTTAGTAGAGACAGGCTTTCACCATATTGGCCAGGCTGGTCTCGAACTCCTGATCTCAAGTGGTCTGCCTGCCTCGGCCTCCCAAAGTGCTGGGATTACAGGCGTGAGCCACTGCACCCAGCTAAGTCTCTGTTTTTAATTATTTTGGGTATATACCTAGGAAGGTAATTACTGGGTCATATATTAGCTTTAACTTTTTTAGGAACTGCCAAACTGTACATTTTATTTTCTATTTTGTGATATTTACCTAACATTGTGACGTGGGTATGACCCTATATCCTAAATATTATATTTGAGTACATAATTTTTAATGACTGGATAGTAGTCAGTTTTTGGACAAACTATAATTTACTTAGTTCCCTGTGTTGAACATTTAACAAATACTCAGTACCTATTTTAATAAATCCTTGCAAGAAAATTAATGTGTGCATTTGTACCTTTTGGAACAGATTATTAGAAATAGAATCACTGGATTTAAATATATGAGTATTTTAAAGACGTAAAGCACATTTCCAAATTGTCATTTCCAAAAAGCACCTTTCCAAATTCTCATTTAGAAAGGTTAGTTCAATTTATGTATCCTCCAGCAATATGTGAAAGCACTGTTTTTTCTACGCTGATCCTGACTATTAGATTGGACCATGTGAAATCA